GGATGCTTTTCTGCAAAGGGTACAGGACGACTGCACCGTATTGAGGGGAGGATGGATGGGGCCATGTATCGCGAGATCTTGGCCAACAACCTCCTTCCCTCAGTGAGAGCATTGAAGATGGGTCGTGGCTGGGTCTTCCAGCATGACAACAACCCGAAACACACAGCCAGGGCAACTAAGGAGTGGCTCCGTAAGAAACATCTCAAGGTCCTGGAGTGGCCTAGCCAGTCTCCAGACCTGAACCCAATAGAAAATCTTTGGAGGGAGCTGAAAGTCCGTATTGCCCAGCGACAACCCCGAAACCTGAAGGATCTGGAGAAGGTCTGTATGGAGGAGTGGGCCAAAATCCCTGCTGCAGTGTGTGCAAACCTGGTCAAGACCTACAGGAAACGTATGATCTCTGTAATTGCAAACAAAGGTTTCTGTACCAAATATTAAGTTCTGCTTTTCTGATGTATCAAATACTTATGTCATGCAATAAAATGCAAATTAATTACTTAAAAATCATACAATGTGATTTTCTGGATTTTTGTTTTAGATTCCGTCTCTCACAGTTGAAGTGTACCTATGATACAAATGACAGACCTCTACATGCTTTGTAAGTAGGAAAACCTGCAAAATCGGCAGTGTATCAAATACTTGTTCTCCCCACTGTATGTTTGAATGCTCAGTAATGTTCATATAATCTCAGACATAATTTACTGCAGTTTAAGACCATCCACTATATGCCAAATAACATGCACTCAGAAATGTCTTTCCTCTGCTAGAGGTGTAAAACACAAAAGGGGACATATTTGCATACAGCATGTTATGTTCTTGTGAAGGCTGGCTGAATTCTGGCAGAGTATGTCTTTTATCTTAGCATGTCTACAGATTCTACCTTCTCCCTGTTTTTGTTTGCTTGTAAATGTTGACAATTGAGACTGTTATCAAACGAAGCGACAACACAGGTGTACCTGCAAGACAAAAAATTTAACCAATCAGTGGAGGCTGGTGGGAGGAGGTATAGGAGGACGGGCTCATTGTAATGGCTGGAATTGAATAACTGGAATGGTATCAAACACATCAAACATATGGAAACCACTTGTTTGACCCCGTTCTATTAATTCCATTCCAGCCATTACAATGAGCCCGTCCTCCTATAGCTCCTCCCACCAGCCTCCACTGGAACCAATGCATCAGTAATCATAACCATTATAGCCTAAAGTTAGGGAAAGTTCTAAAAGGAAAAGCTGAGTCATGTCTGATGTTCTTGAAAATATTATAGACACACTGCTGTGTTTCCTGATGTAATATTTTTTAAACGGTGGTGTATATGCGAAACACACATTTATTTTATCCATCATCTTAGCTAGCTAACACAATTCATATCAAAAGTGCGCATGACTGTGTTATCACATGTCCCTCACAAACTTACAGGCCCTCCACTCAGCATGACCTAAAGATATTGTCATGATTCATTATGGGAAATCAGCTGGTTAGGCTTCCTCTTGAATTTGAGTGCTACAGGATAGGTTTGAAAAGGAAGTGAAAATTAACAAGGCCCATATTTAGGAAGTTACAAACAGGTGGGACCTGATCCTTTATCAGCACTCCTACTCTAAGACGCTTTATGACTATCGGCCCAGGACATGAACTGGCACTCGGTGTATTTGATGACAAGGTTTATTCACCCTCTGAGTTCTCCCTGCTTTGCAAAGCTCTCTAAAGGCTGGCTCCCCTTTTGCACCCTTTCCCCTGGTTGAAAGAAAATAAGATCCAACAATGAGAGTCTTGTTCAGAAAGTTTAATATTAACATAGCTACATAGCTAGCTAGTTATGGACTTGCAAACATTAGTCATCTGTCCATTACTTGCTAATGTTATAATGTTAGGTGCGAGCAAGGCATATAGCTAGCTAGCTTATCGTTTTTCAGGTTGTTTACTTACATGTATGCACTACTAGCTAGCTAGCTGCTAGCTTCAACAAGCGCACACTTGTTTGATATGAAATTATGTAGCTATATTTACCATTTGGACCTTAACCACCCGCACAACTCACTTTACTTGACATTAGCTAGAATGTTTCTGTTAAAACCAGGGAATGTCGTGAACTCTTTGCCTGGTTGGCTTTTGAACAGCTCTGCCTCCCTGACGACCTCCACAAGGGCTAGAATGTCCTCGGTCTGGCGAGCAGCATGATGGATGCCACTAGACTTTGACACCTCCAAGTCAGCATCTGCAGTGTCCATCAATTCCTTGAGGACACCAATAGACTTGCTAATCCTGTCTGCTCAGTCATGTTCGGACCCAGACCCTGAAAGATAAAGCCAAGGGTTCATCAGTAGTAGGCCTAACTGTCTCATAACATGTGATAGGCCTAATGATTAACATTGTGATTAACTACACATACTGACATGTATCTTGTATACTGTGACATACCGTGTTGGGAATTCCACATTTGTTGCTGTCCCTCTCGCACCATCTAACACCTCACACTACTGCCTATCCCACAACCCCATGTAGTAATCTAATCTGGCCACAACGCCCCTCCTGCTTATTCAGGTGTAGGGTAAATTTGCCCCTAGACGCTGATCTTGGGTAAATTTAACTTTTCTCCCATTAATGGTTAAGGTTAGCATTAGGGGAGGGGAAGCAGATTTTATAGCTGTACCTAGGGGAAACTTCCCCATGGAGTACCTGTGCAGGACAGTGGCTCCTTGGTTCTACTCCAAGTGGATATTTGTGATGGTTTGCATGGACACAAAACCACATCATTTACATATCTCCTCTGGCAATAAAGTTCCCTTTTATAAGAGCTGCTCTCCTCTACACTAATCTCCTGTACACACATTTCAAATGACAAAACCATCATAAATAATGAAATACACAACATTGGATTTGGACTGACAAGGTGTAATACAGTTGTATGCTACTTAAGTTGTATTGTTCTAGAATCATTGAGTAGATTCTAGCTGTAATATTTTTAAATGACTGTTGAAAAGCAGTAATAGTCCCTAATTGAGCAGATGCACTTTGCAATTTACCTCCTTCAGACTATGCTGTGTGGGCATCTCGGTAGATGGCCTTGACAACTTCGTCCGAGCTGGGTTTTGGGGATTGGGACACAACTTTTTTAGAGCCCTTGGGGGGTCTTTGAAGGTGTCGGCTCTCGGTCCCGTTTGTCAGCTGTTGAAGTTGTTGCTTCGACATTGGGACTTGTTTCCTTCTCTGCTTCTTGCCATCTTTTAAAAATGGCAAAATCCTCTACTACTCTACCAACCAAGTGAAAGCACTTCTAATCAATTCTAATCGATCGTCCTGGAACTTGAGGCAATGTTAATCCTAATTATATCAGTCGTTTGCTGCCTATGTTGGATCAAATATTTTCTTGGTGTTCGCTAAGGTTCCTTTTATGCGCACATTTTCGTGACAAAGATGGCAAGAATCGTGTACAGACATGCTAAGTAGTTACACGGACCTGCTTCCTTGACAACTGCTGCTAGTAGTAATGTTGTTTACATACATAGAACAGACGCATGTATATTTGTTTATTTATTTGTTTGTTTGGATCCCCATTAGCTTTGCAGAGGCAGCAGCTATTCTTCCTGGGGTCCACAAAAAGTAACAAAACACTGATACACCGATAGAGGACAGAGACACAAATGTAAATACAATTATATACAAATAATACAACAACAAAAAATTATAATAATACAAAAAATACAAATAAAAGAAAATGTGGTGTTAGAGTGTGTCTGTGTGTGCGTGTGTTTGTGTGTGTTCCCTCACAGTCCCAACCGTTCCATGAGATGTTGTTTAATCGTTAAAGGTAATTTCGCTGTTTGCTTGAGCAATTGGAGATTGAAGGGAGTTCCATGTGATCATGGCTCTGTATAATACTGTGCGTTGCAGTGAATTCATTTCGGACTTGGGGACTGTGAAGAGACCCCTGGTGTCATGTCTTGTGGGATATGTATGGGTGTCTGAGCTAAATATTATTTGATTATGCAGACAATCTGGAATTTTCATTACAGTAATACTTCTCATAAATACTAGAAGAGAAGCAATTAGTCTCTAATCAACCCTCAACCAGAAATGACTGGCATGCATGTTGTTGATTTTAGTTCTGTATGTGCAGTTAAGGGCAAGGTGTGCTGCTCTGTTTTGAGCCAGCTGCAGCTTTGCTAGTCTTTCTTTGCTGCACTTGACCATATTACTGGACAGTAATGAAGATGGGACAAGACCAGATACTTTTTTTTTGTGTCAAAACACAGAACATCTTTTTATATGCCCATCTTCACAACAACTTTGTCAATATGACTTGATCATGATAATTGGCCATCCAATGCTATACCTAGGAGTTTAGCTTCCTCAACTTGCTCAATGGTCACACCCTTTATACTCCAGCTGAGGTTTAGGTCTTAGAGAATGTACTGAAACGGCGCTCTGGTACTAAGTCATATGGTTCATTGGTCTGATTGGTTGATATCAATGACAAGACTGTATTCGTGCAGCGAACCATATATGGAAGCTCAGGAGATCAGGCCGATTTGCGAGGCTATTAATATCTAGCTGTGGTAGCATTGTGTTTTCATATTTCCTGTTTCTCAGGCCAGGAAAAGCAAAAATTTAAAGATGTTCTAAAAAAACATGCCTCTGAAACAATGGTCTACAAACATTATGACACAGGATATCTAAAACTTTACTTAATTTTCAGCAACAATTAACATGTATTGTCAAGTGGCTATAATGTTTGCTCGGCAGGTGTATGAATGTTTGTAATATATATGTTTTTATGTATTTGTGCTTTCAGATCTCTACCAAAGGGTAAATTGAACACCCACCAAAGGGTAAATTGCAAGGGGGCGTAGCATTTTCATGAACTTTTTCATTGAGCAAGAAAACTTCCTCAAAAGCCTGCAGATCCAAGAAACCAAAAGTGCTGGTACATTCCCTGGAGGAGGAATTCACAATAAAGCATACTCAGTCATAGAGTAAACTTCCATTGGACAGCTGACATGATGTCTGGAGGAGAGGTGGTCTACACAGTGCTGGAGGTGCTGATCGCCATTGCCTGCTGCCTGGGGAATGTGCTGGTTATCTGGGCAGTGTGGTCAAGCAGTGCTCTGCGGCAGCCCACCTTCTGCTTTATCGTTTCTCTGGCTGTGGCTGACTTCCTCGTGGGTTCTGTGGCCATGCCGCTGGCTGTGCTGGTGGATGGACGGGTGCACTCCTCGTTCAATGTCTGTCTCTTCATTAGCTGTGTGGTCATCATGTTGACAGTGGCCTCCGTCTTGTCTCTGCTAGCCATTGCTGTGGACCGATACCTACGCGTCTTCATCCCTCTCAGGTGAGCTGTTATGATGACATTTCAGGATGTTTACAGTTGGAAATATTATTCTCCTAGCTGTGTCCCATGTGAACCACATTTTAAGACAGAAAGTCATGCATGGATGGAATCAGATTCCTTGTTTTCTTTTGCAAAGCAATTCATTAAAACATCATAACTTTTCTGCTTCAACAGATACAAAAAGACGGTAACAGAGAGAAGATCTTGGGTGGTGGTAACAACATGTTGGTTTGTGGCTTTTATATTGAGCTTCCCTCCCATGTTTGGATGGAACAACCGTGAAACGTTGTCTCACTCAGAGAACTCAACCACCATCCTCTGCCATTTCCTGGCTGTGATCCCCATGTCATACATTGTTTACTTCAATTTCTTCCTCTGCACCCTCACCCCGTTAATTGTCATGGCTGTCCTGTACATCTGCATCTTCTGTACCATCTGGAGGAACTTGAGGGAGAAAGTGGGGCACGGGGCCCAGTCCCACACCTACTTCAGGAAGGAGAGGAGCCTGGCCCGATCCCTGGCTCTGGTCCTGGTGCTGTTCGCCTTCTGCTGGCTCCCCCTGCACATTATGAACTGTACTGCCTACTTTGGCAGCCCGTCAGACATACCCCACACAGCCTTCTATGTGGGCATCCTCCTTTCCCATGCAAATTCAGCTGTCAACCCAGTCGTCTATGCCTTCAAGATCCACAAGATCCAGGGAGCGTACCTGAGGATCTGGAGGAGGTTCTTTGTGTGTCGCGATGACAACCAGGGCTCTCAGAGCAATCATACCACTGAGAACAATATCAGCAGCAACCCTAACGTTGTGAGCAAGGGATAGTTAATGATGTGTTGAATGATAATCCCACATATTTATTCTCTGATACTTTGAAAAAGATAATCCCAGGGATGCAGATCAGATGAAGTGGTCTACATCATTAATATCATAATGAGCATTATCTTATCATCAAAACCATACTCACATTATATTTACATTCTTTACTAAAACTTTAGCTGACAAACTGGTTATTTTTATGTTTTTACTTCAGTTTTCATTGATTTTATCAATCACTATACAACTGACCACATGTTGGATTTGTCTTTTCTCCATGCTTTGAATGGCACAAGCTATGTCTGTCTGTGATAGATGGTGGCGTTACTACACTCCAGACTGCCCACACAATCCATGCTAAATTTTAGTCGCTTTTAAATCAGCCCTACAGACCTCCTGAAAGGTAGAAATACAAGAAAAGGATGAATAAATATGCGTGAGTTTGTCTGATTTGGAAACAGATAAAACCAAACAAACGGGCTGCTCCATACGTGTCGATAGGTAGCCTATATTGTTTGTCAGTGTGAGACAGAGGGGGACGTCGCTAGAGTGACATTTGTGGAAGTATTGCCACAGAAATTCAGCAATTTGTTGATTTTCTTAAACATTATATAACGTCATAATACATGTAAACAGTATATGACAAGTAATCCTTCATGTACTATCATGCACCCTCTGTTTGTAACAGACCGGCAGAAAATTAATGGCAGCGGACCGCGGTACGCTAGCAAAGTTCCCTTTTATGCCTTTCCCTAACCCTAACCCTTACCTTAACATCACAATATTATACTTAACCTTAAAGCTTAAACCTTAATGGTGAAACTGCCATGTCCGTTTGCGATATTATAACAACAAAAAGGTTACTTCGAACATATATTTTTCCCTCTGACATAATTGCACGCGCGATAGAACGTCAGAGTATGTTTTCATCAACAAAACAAAAACAATAAGACATTTGCTGGGGCAAACTGTGGCACTGTTTCCCCTCACGCAGATTTCAGCTTTAACCGTAGCCCTTTCCTGCAGTCAAATGATCTTGTGGCCTCATGGGTGGAATGTTATTCATATTTTTCATAATTTCATGATTAATAAAAAAAACACTTATTTTGCTGTTGCCAAAAATCCAATGTTTCTATGTCAAACAGTTTTGTTGTATTTCAGTCTTCTATGATGTATATAAAGTGTAATATTGGGATGCAAACTCAAAATTGAATACATTTCAACTCTATATCTGACATGGTGTCTTCATTTGTTAAGCCCATGACCATGTGTGTGAGGTGTATACTTATGTTACAAAGTAGATTTGTTTAAGACAAACACTCTGTGTGAACCAGCTTTACTGCAGTAAAAAGTTAAAGGGGTAGTTCACCCAAATGACAAAATTATATATTGGTTTTCTTTACCCGGTAAGCATTCTATGTACAAGGAATGACAGCAGTGCATTTTTTTTTAAGTACAAAGTGTTTGTTAGGTGTTAAGCCTGTGTCAAAATATGCTTAAAATTATTAAAATACAAAAAAGCTATTGTGATTGTGTTGAATTGGGTGTGGAAAATAAAGATAGACATGGTTTTAAAAAGGTAGTGGTAATATTTCATTTAGTACAGAAATCTGTAGGCAGCTTAACTTACCCTGTCCTGCGGCTCAATTTACCCTATACCTGGGGTAAGTTCTGCCAAGAGACCACTTTTTTTGGACAAGCTATGTTTTCAAAACTGTAATGTTTATATGAAATCTGATTATTACCAGGGATACACAACATCCTGAAATATACAGTATGTAGACAGGGCCTGACCTCCAGGGGATCCCCATTGATTTTGTTAGTCATTCTCACCCAGATATCATATTAACATGGCATAAGTAATTACAAAATAAAGAACATACAGTGGGGGAAAAAAGTATTTAGTCAGCCACCAATTGTGCAAGTTCTCCCACTTAAAAAGATGAGAGAGGCCTGTAATTTTCATCATAGGTACACGTCAACTATGACAGACAAAATGAGAAAATAAATTCCAGAAAATCATATTGTAGGATTTTTAATGAATTTATTTGCAAATTATGGTATTTGGTCAATAACAAAAGTTTCTCAATACTTTGTTATATACCCTTTGTTGGCAATGACACAGGTCAAACGTTTTCTGTAAGTCTTCACAAGGTTTTCACACACTGTTGCTGGTATTTTGGCCCATTCCTCCATGCAGATCTCCTCTAGAGCAGTGATGTTTTGGGGCTGTCGCTGGGCAACACGGACTTTCAACTCCCTCCAAAGATTTTCTATGGGGTTGAGATCTGGAGACTGGCTAGGCCACTCCAGGACCTTGAAATGCTTCTTACGAAGCCACTCCTTCGTTGCCCGGGCGGTGTGTTTGGGATCATTGTCATGCTGAAAGACCCAGCCACATTTCATCTTCAATGCCCTTGCTGATGGAAGGAGGTTTTCACTCAAAATCTCACGATACATGGCCCCATTCATTCTTTCCTTTACACAGATCAGTCGTCCTGGTCCCTTTGCAGAAAAACAGCCCCAAAGCATGATGTTTCCACCCCCATGCTTCACAGTAGGTATGGTGTTCTTTGGATGCAACTCAGCATTCTTTGTCCTCCAAACACGACGAGTTGAGTTTTTACCAAAAAGTTATATTTTGGTTTCATCTGACCATATGACATTCTCCCAATCCTCTTCTGGATCATCCAAATGCACTCTAGCAAACTTCAGACGGGCCTGGACATGTACTGGCTTAAGCTGAGTCCCTGGCGGCGTAGTGTGATACTGATGGTAGGCTTTGTTACTTTGGTCCCAGCTCTCTGCAGGTCATTCACTAGGTCCCCCCGTGTGGTTCTGGGATCTTTGCTCACCGTTCTTGTGATCATTTTGACCCCACGGGGTGAGATCTTGCGTGGAGCCCCAGATCGAGGGAGATTATCAGTGGTCTTGTATGTCTTCCATTTCCTAATAATTGCTCCCACAGTTGATTTCTTCAAACCAAGCTGCTTACCTATTGCAGATTCAGTCTTCCCAGCCTGGTGCAGGTCTACAATTTTGTTTCTGGTGTCCTTTGACAGCTCTTTGGTCTTGGCCATAGTGGAGTTTGGAGTGTGACTGTTTGAGGTTGTGGACAGGTGTATTTTATACTGATAACAAGTTCAAACAGGTGCCATTAATACAGGTAACGAGTGGAGGACAGAGGAGCCTCTTAAAGAAGAAGTTACAGGTCTGTGAGAGCCAGAAATCTTGCTTGTTTGTAGGTGACCAAATACTTATTTTCCACCATAATTTGCAAATACATTAATAACAAATCCTACAATGTGATTTTCAGGATTTATTTTCCTCAATTTCTCTGTCATAGTTGACGTGTACCTATGATGAAAATTACAGGCCTCTCTCATCTTTTTAAGTGGGAGAACTTGCACAATTGGTGGCTGACTAAATACTTTTTTCCCCCACTGTATGTAGAATTGCATAAAATGTGTTTTAAAACTGCAAAGATGTCTCTTCTCCCCATGGCAGAATGGGTAGATATTTTGTTGTTGAGTAGAATGAGTAGAATTGCATAATGTTTTGAATAACATGTATATGTTTTCCATGGCACCAAAACAGGCTGAAATTTCAGCAGTTTTTTTCAAACAGCTCTTACACTAAAAGGGCATTATCATCATGTTCACCATTTCACTGTATTATTCCAACCTCATAGTGTGGAAATATATATAAAACACAGGAAAATCCAGTTTTTGGCTGCACTGGGCCTTTAAAACTGCAACATCTTCTCTACGCCCCATGGCAAAATGTGTAGAATTGCAGGAAATGCAACTCACATTTTTCTCTCCACCGTCAAGAGGGGGCCCCCTGGCTGGTGTCTACAAGTGTTGGGATGAATGAGGCCTGGGACAGGAACTGTGTTGTCCCTGTCGGTCCCTAACCCCTCCATGGTCCCTCTTGTACTCCTTCACAGCCTCCACCCTAATCTTCTCCTTTGGGAGCAGTGCCTCGTAACACCGGGAGTAACCCACCAGGGGTAGGAACTTAAAGTCTCCATGACGACCACCCAGCAGGAAATGCACCCTGAGGAGAGGAGACCAGGAAGTTAGAGATAGGGGCGATTACTGGCCAAAATTATGTTGTGTCATATTCATATACCCAAAAGGCTAGAACCGGGCCTTAATATAGATATCTGTTAGAAAGAATACTATATTTCCCTTGACGGAGTGATGCTCAATGTAAAAAAGGCTCAACTTACCCCACTCTCCCTACTCTATTCTTCATAGCCCTCTCTAGATTTACCTGGCATAGCCGATACAGGCACAAAATCCTTCTAATGTCAGCTTGAGAGGTTATTAAACATATAATGAAGAGCTTTTGCCAATGTATTTCTGCACAGGTTTCCTTTACCATGTTGGCGTTATGGTAGCATTTTGCATGCTGAGAATGAAACTGAAAGTGAACAGGAGGAGGAGTAGGACAATGATGCAGGAAAGAAGAGTGTTTAAAAGGATAGTTCACCCAAATTACAAAATGACATTGGTTTCCTTACCCTGATAGCGGTGGACAAGGTAAGACAGCAATCTGAGCTTTTGGTATTGTTTACCTGGCCACTGTCTCCAAATGCTAAGTGTTTGGAGGATATATTGGCACAGGTGTTGTTAGCAAACCTTGCCAATATATCCCCCGAACACCGGCTTCGAGGGCATTATCACTTTTAAGCAACGGGTTACCAACATATTCAAATAATGATTGACATATTTTCATTAAAAACGTTATTTTTATGAATTTATTCATACTATTTCATCCTTCCACGAGATATAGTCCCGACACAAATCTAGGGTTGCTACCCAAGCTGGCTGGTCGTTCGTTCTATCGGTTCGGTTGCTAGAGACGCGACCCAGTCGTTCAGTCTTTTTGTTCTGTATCTATGGACGTGACCCAGTCGTTCGTTCTAAATGTTCCATTGCCATACTGGCTGGCAATGATCTTATCCCTTGCTTGCTAGCTAGTCAACTACGGCTAACTTACAG